CACCTGGGGGGGAAAGCATTCTCCTCTGGCCGCAGGGAAGAGTGCCATAAAGGGCAAGACGTGGATCACAAGTCTATTGGTGTGGGCTATTAGTAACCGTAGAGCCCCTGACCTGTGACTAGGGTCCTGTGCTGATTCCCACACACAAACTCACAGACAGAGTAGGAGGGGACAAGCACAGAAAAGACAGTTTACGATGATAAAGAGCTTTGTCATGCATTCAAGAGAGTGGATAATGTGATTTTTTGTTGTTGTTGTTGTTGTTGTTAATGTATGTGCCCACAGTGGAGAGCAGGAAGCAGAGCATTCACAACCTTGCCTTCATGATGGCTTAACATTTCTTTTGCAGGTGATGACTCTGTTGTTGCCTGCCCTCCGACACGTACACACACTGGCTCGTGCACATGCTGTACACGCCTGAAAAAACTCACACCCACATACCATTCTTACAAACATTCATGAGGACACAGATGTGTGAAAATTGTGCACAAAAAGAGGGGTTCGAAGTATGACACATGCTGGCACATCTTGGTGCAGTGGTTGAGAGGATTAGAGTCAGACAATTACGTGACAGCAGTCAAGACAAATTGATCACTCATCCTCTCTTCTGGCATTCAAAGTATTATTTTGCTTTATAAACATTAAAAAATAAACATAAAATTTTTACTTTCAAAATAATCTAATCATACTGCAAAAATCCAGTGAGAAAGACTGGAGATAGATTGTAGGTGATTGGCATGTCAGATACTGTGCCCAAAGTTTACGCACCTGAAATGTGGAACTAAGATTTTTTCTGTAATAACTTGGCCAAGTTCCAATTCTGTTGTTAAGGCTTACAATGCCATTAGGTAATCAGAAATATGTTCCAAAACGTGGGCATGCTGAAGCTGTAAACTTGGACCGAGAAATCAGTTTAGTGACATGTCTGAGCCTGCCAGGTAAACGTTAAAAGTTCATTTGCACATATTTCCCCAGAACTTTTGGGCTGTTGAGGGGATTTTTCAAATGATAAATATTAATAGATACTGAGCCAAATTCTTTTTTTCATTAAACATTTCTGAATTATACATGAATATTCCAGGAACATAAAAATATTTGAGCCATTGTCTGAGCAGTGTGACGTTGTCTTATTGTGTTTACTATCCATTGGCTCGTAATGTTGGCAGTGAAGGCTTTCAAGCTGTTACTAACACTCTACAGTTGCAGGCATTGTTATTTCTGGATAAGGCCCATAGTTAAATCCCTTTCCAAAGTGACTCCACTTGAACTGCTATTTGTCAGATAGAGTAGTTTTCTCTGAATTACATTTTAGAGCTGTTATCTAAACCAGAACTGGTGGAGAAACAGTGAGGCACATTTGTCTTCGCCTGAGACAAAGCACAACTGAAAACAAATTTTTCAAAAATAAAAAACAACCTCCTTTTTGAACACATATCCAAGTCGCATTCATGGGTACATTAGGGACTGATCCATCAAGTGCACTCGCACAAAGAGCCATCACACTGTGGTCCAAGTTCAGCTGGCTTACAGTCACAAAAACAAAAAAAGGTCTGGTTGCTAAATGCTCTTCCTTCATCGGTTTGTGCAGCTGGGAGACGTCTGAGGAAAGGATGGGAAAGCGGAAGCTACTGGCTGTGAAGTGGTAACCAGGGACATTATGAAAGTCGGAGTAAGGAGAGAGTCCTCGAGGCCATGTTAACAAAAGTGGGAGAACTACAGCACTTCCAAGGAGGGTGTCTGGGGACTTAATGAGTGATGCCCTCAGTCAGCAATGAGCAATGGATATGATATATGCCCTATACAATCCCCAGATCCCTGGGGTTCTATCTGCTGTGCTAGCAGCCCGTTAACTTTGTCTCCACAAACTAAGTGATTTTAAGGTTTTCATTTTTATCAGGTAAAAGATCTTGCTGAGCATGCATGTTTTTGGAGCTTATACAACTGCTCTCACTACCTGCTGCCATTCATAACCTGCATGTTTTCTTTTGTTTTTTTCATGTATTCGGGTGATATAATCTACTGTGTAGTGCATGTTATCACTCAAGGCCATAGCTGATATTTTTTAGCCATGCTTCCTTGTTCTGTTTTGTTGCAGTCGTGACCACAAACATAATCTGTAATCTGCTTCCTCTTACAGCACTAGCGGAAAACCCAAGGCCTGTGTCCAAAGGTTTGAAGTCTTAAAGCTGCGATAACTGCCATGAGATCATTACTTAAAGGGCAATCAAATAACTCATGGTCATGGGAGTGCCCTTCCAACCAATCATTTGTTCTGTGATTTTTTCAAAACTGGAACAACATGATGGAGGAAACCTGTGTGACCCTGGGAAACAGCTGATATCTATGTATATGGATGTCGTTCATACCCATGTTACTGGCTGAGGTCAGTCAATTTGCTTATGTCACGTCTCACACAGCCCTTAAATCATGCTTTAGTATGCCTATTCACAGTGACACAATTGCACATTCATGGCAACATGTCTATGAACAATGGACTTTTTATCAAACTTCCTGTTGTTCTCTGATAGCAAAGATGAAATCATGACATTGGTCAGTGTGATGTATGTACAAAACAGTTGATAAACCAATTTTATGGAAATCCCAAACCACAAGCCAAGTAAAACAAACACATGGGTGCTTATGTTTCAGTGTTTAGCTGATGAAAGTGACAGAGTCCTGTACAATGTTAACTCAAAGTATTAATGCTGCTAAATTTTTCTTGTTCAAAAAAGACGCTGTGGCGGACATTTTCTTCAACAAAGACTTATGTCAACACTGTTACAAACATTTTTTGACAGAAACACAGCAGTATCTAACAGTTTACAGGGTGTATTCCATCAGTTTTTTCCTTTCATGCACCTGCCTTACAGGTGTCATTACGTACTAGCAAATACCCAAAGGAGTGCATTGGTCAAAGCTAAAACATATACAATCTTCACTGTATTGTTAAAATTCAGGTTGGAAAAAGAACAACTGAACAAGATTTGTGTTGTTCAAATTTAAGGCTTAATTTCATGAAATACATACGCTCAATAATTGAGCCTTGTGGTACACCACACTTAGTCAATGAAGTAGAAAAGAAATGGACACAGTTACTATTCTGTCTGTCAAATAACCAAGCAACAAGTCTAGAACAGTTCTTGAAATACCAACCTCTTAAAATGTTTCCAGTGCTGCACTTAAGTAAAGAAGCACTTTTGAGCATTAACATTCTTCCACTTTATAACCACTACATGGGTGGTTTCAGTGCTGTGCTGGAAAAAAACTGTTGACATGTGTTTTTTATCCTAACACTACCAGGGGTTTCCAAATTGTTCTCCCAAAATGGGGTGTATCTTGAGGTGATAATTGAGATAAATGGGTTAATAATTGAGTAAAGTGAGACTTATTAGGCTGGAACACTTCTGACAGAAGATTGGTTGGTACAATGTAAAGAATGGACATGATGATAATTGTTCAATAATTATTATGCCAATTAACTCTTCATGAGAATTCTGTGTAATGTCCTCAGGCTTTTACCACAATTAACAAACTCAAGCAGTATTTAATCAGAAATGGATTTAGTGCATATTTTAGGATTTTAAAATTTGGGCCGTTAACTGTTTTCATGTGCATGATGTCTGCCTTGTGCATCCTGCATCTCTTTTGACCATTGTTGTGCACGTCCTCAGATATTAATGCAATGTCTCCGCGACATAAAGACAAGTATTTCTGTCTTTAGGAGGATCTGTTAGCAGAAATGGAATATAATATTCCTAAGTATGTAGTATCACTTGAAAATAAAAATCGTGTTTTCGCTACCATAGAATGAGCTGTTTTTATCTACAGTGGGAGTGGGTCCCCTTTAACGGAGTCCATCATGTTGAACCGTCATATATTCTTTAGTAGCCCTGAATGGCCAAACCAAACACCCACCCTAGACAGGGCCTTTTGCGTTCTTCATGAGTTTTGTGGCCACCATAGTTTCTCCTAAATGCTTAGAACGGGAAGGTGAGGCGAGGGCTTTGCAATCAATGACTACACGGCTAGATTCCACTAAATCCAACACACCAAATGAAATTCTCTATCCATTAAAATACATTGGTTTTGTGTAAGAAAGAAGACGATCACTGAAGTAAAGACAGATTGATCGTGTTGAAAGTAGAACAGACCTAGCAATCAAAGAGCAAAACATCTTGGCACTTTGACCATTTGGGATGCGTAATTCATTCTCTCTTGGCGGAAAATAAAAAATAATAATTTATCATAACTAAAGAAAGTTTAGCAATAACATAGATACTCAAGGTCATGCTAAACCGTGAGATATTGGCACCATTGTGAAGTGGCCATAGACAGAAGGCTGAAGGCCAAGTACTCCCTCTGGTGTTATTGCTTTATTAAAATGTGGTCATGAGGGAGCTAAAAAGACTTGCATTTTTCGGTTATACTCTTCTGGGAGAGCTAAAACCTTCAAGGCATGAGATGTGACTTACCAGTTTTTAAGAGAGCATCAACCTGATACATAATACATTATTCTAGGCAGCTTCTTCCCAAATTATCCTTGGAACTCAGTATGATTTAGTGAATGAAATTTGACAATTTATCTATCTAAAAAAGCAGTCAAGCAGACAAGACCTTAAAAAGCACATTGTGGAAGAGCACAAGCTTTTCTTGGACAAACTCTCATTACGTGATTTTGGGATAAAAAAATGTTGTTCAGAAGCCTTAAATCTCTCTAACAATGTAATTTAGAAAGCCAGAAACTTACAAATGAATACAGTCTAGTACTAACATATGGCAAACATACTGGTAAACCACTGGTAAAACTGGTTTTACATTCAAATGGCTACAAACATTTAGTTTTAAACACATTGCAGTCACCCTACTTGTCTGCAGATAAGCTATTTCACCTGCCAGTGTGCCTCAAGTTCAATTTCCTGCTGACAGACCTACTTTGAAAAAAGTATGCACAGAAGCTTAATGAAAATTCCCGAACAATAACAAAATAAAAACCCAGTAAATAACAGTTGGATACGTGTCCTTTATTCATATCTCATATATGTTTCTTTACATTTATACAAAAATACAGAATACAGTAGAGTTTTCACCCAGAATACCAACTGGGCAATAATTACATTTGCTTTTTGGCACCCAGACTTATTTCCTGCCTAGAGCTATTTGATTCACCCACTGGAGTGGGATAAATTGGATCACTCAAGCCCGAAAGCACTGTTCAGGATGCAGCTCTGCTCACTCCCAGACCACACTACAAACCCACATAGGAACAGTATTTAAGGGCAGTCATTCTCTTGACTAATGCATGAAATTGCTTGGTTTCTGGCCTCCATGCATCAGACATATAGACTATTTGAGGCTCTCGCAAAGACAGGAAAATGGGACACCATGTTATTCTTTTTTGTTCACAGCTTAGACCTGTTGCAGCTCATGATATTCATAGACTATGTATAAAAAGCATTTTTTGAGTATACCTTGTTTGTTAGTTTGTTTGTGGCTAGACTAGCCTGTGTCTCTGTCAGAATACTGGGCACTGCACATAATAGTCTTCATGTAGAGAAGCAAAACCTAAAGAGGATTGAAGAGAAAGTCTCAGGTCTAAACTGCCATTAATAATATGCTCCAATATTGTTCAAAAATGCATTTTTGAATAGAAATAACTGGCTTAAAGCTTTAAAATAACTTTATCACACCAGCAATTTCAGATAGTCCAATTAAAAGTTCTGTTGCTGTGGACTAAACACCAATGTGGTATAGTTTTTCTAATCCAGACTCAGCTCTAAAATGCCAAAGAGAATATGACACAGGTTGCCATTAATTGTGATAAAAAATTAAGAGTGTTCTACAAAAATGCATTTTTGAAGGAATAAAGTTAACTTGCAGTTCAACACAACAAACAATACTTTACCACACCAAATAATTCCAGCTATTGATGCTGAAAGGTACTGTTGCTCTGAACTATATGAACACCAATGTGGTATACTTTTTTCAAACACAGATTCAATTTTGCACAATATACTCTCATCTCCTATAAGAAAAATTCCCAACATATAGTCCCAAATACACATGAAACAAGCAGTCACCAGTAGAAGTGTTTCCTAAAGGTTGCAAAGGCTATAATGTAACATGTGGACAGAAATGTCACAACCACTGCAGTTTATTCTGCAGACAGACTTTTCACTTCCTGAACCACAGTTTTTCCAGAACACTGTCCGAATCATAAATGAGCACAGGTCAAACCAACTAAACTTTCATAGTTTTGAGTTTATTTAAAAAAAGAGAGAGAGATTGGGGGTCATATTATATGTATATATACTTATTGTGGTGAGATTATTCTATTCTGCCATGTAATGATCTCTCCACTTTCTGCCACCACACAGAAATATAGACAGGCTTTTGACATTTGCACACGTAGTCAATCACACTATCAAACAAGGCACAAAACCAAGAATGGACATGGAACAATGTAAGACCACAAACATAATAGAAATACTCAAAATAGATACAGAAACAGATGTTTGTGTCCTGCCACTAAATCATTGTCAGCTATTTGCAGCAGGGCGGCCTGATGGGAAAGGTCACAGCCAGCGTGCCCTGTTCACACTCCTACCTCTTTACTGATTCATTATTCATTCACACTGATTCATTAATACTCTTGATAATGACCTCTATACCTATAGTTCATTATTGATCTACTTTACTTCGAGTTTGGGCAAGGCTTAGTAGGAGTCAACCCCTTTTTAAATGTGTTTAAACCCCTCTGTCCTCACAGCTCTGATAATATCTGTTATCTCTGAGACAGAGAGCACCTCCAGCTCTTGACTTATCAGATCTGAGAGTGCATAAGAGGAAGGAGGTAGGTAGGGGCACATTGATTTAACATTTGAATGAGCCTGAGGGCTTCTGCAATTGTATAAATACATGTGAATTGAACAACCTCACTTTAGCTGCTTGGATCTGACTACCTGTGAATGATTTCCTGCCCTTCATACAGATCTCTGTAGACCGGAAACAACTCTAACTCATCACGCTTCTTTAAAAAAAAACTTTTTGAAAGTTACACCATTGTATGACAGTTCAGTATGTGAAGGAGATGACAGTGCACTTCCTTTGACAGTGTATTATGGCGCAACTTTAAGGCAAAATTAATATTTAGGTCTGCATGGCATTCCCATGTGGCGAACTTTTTGGATTGTGAAAATAACTAAGGTGCATGTCCATAAATTTCATAAACAGTGGTATCATCCTTCAGTATTTCATTAGCATTTGAGTCTTGATAAATGCACTAACTAGGTTTGTCAGATTGTCTATAATTGGTTTTATTGCAAACACGACACTGATAACGGACAAAGGCAAAGCCAGTAAGAACAGATTACACCATGTGAATAAACAGTCTAAGCTAATGGGTTTGAGTTGTGAGTATATCTGGTGAGTATATTTGGTCATTCAGTGAACAGTCAAGATTTGATAGCTTGATTTAAGTTTTTTTTATCATATAACATTTGTGTATTTTATCTTATAATTCATTTTTCTGTCTACAAACTGTTTTTCTTTCTTTGATCAATTTTACTGATTTTCTTTTCTTATCACCACAGAGGAATAGCTGTCACAAGTCTCTCCTGTAACAGTATTTGCCTTGCAAGCATAAAGGTGAGATAAGTAAAAAATAAAGGCATTGTTGAGCTAACATTTACTATAGGAGGCCCATTGTTGTCTAAAACGTACGTTCTGAATTCACCTTTTTTTTTTAAATCCACAGAAGTCATCCCTGATACTCGTTAGAAGAATGTCATTGCAGATTTCAGTGGTCTAAATGTAAGTTAGTCAAAGCAGCATATTTTGTATATGTTTTTTCTCTCCATGTAATCCATTCACACATCCTAGTTCACCAATAATCATATATACCGACAACAACATCATATGAGGAAATTAAACTTGTTCAGGAATGTGTTTGAAGGGTTTACGATGTGTTATTATACAGATTGTTCTTTAAATGTGACCCATTAGTAGAGGTGCTCTTAAATGATCGCTTGAAACATTTCAATTGTATCAACAGCAGCAGCTCAGTGCTGCCACTAATAAATAAATACATCATACACTCTTGTGGGTACATGCCTAAACCAGACAATGTGACTACACCTTGGAACTACAATGTTTAACATTATATTCTTTGGGAAACCCTGGACTAAGAGGGAACTGTAGAGCTGTTGAGGATGTGGTTAACGTGAGGGTCACCGGAGGTAGTAATTTATGCCTTAGTTCATACAAGAAACAACCTGTGTCAGTCACTCTCTGATTGTTGATGGAAGATGAACTGGCGGGCCCAAAAATACAGAAAGACTGTAGCAATGGCTGAGGGAGAAGCAAAGTTTTTCCCAAAAGAGTTCATGATGCAGCAGGTACTGATGAACAATTCGCGGAAGCCAGAGAATCCAGTCGGGGGTGGGGAGTGGTGTGGGGGTTTCTCTCTGCTAAAATCTCACAGTCTTTTTCAAAAGCATGGGGTTAATGCAGTCTTACAAGAAAAGGCAAGCTTTTTCCAGAAGGAAAACCAGAAGGATCATGGCAATTGTGAATCTGCCATCGTGAATCTGGAGAGAAGTCAAAAACAGGCCTTTTACCTCTTGATATTTCATTATGGAGATTGTTCTTAAAGTTTGTTTCTCATCACCTTTGGACACCGACAGTAGAAAAGAATAGAGCCCTGTCAGAGAAAAGTGTGGGGAGAGGTTTTAGAACTCAGTGTCAGGCAAGGAGTCAAACATGATTTTCTTTATTTTCAAAACTGTGAGAATAGATTTTTTTTTTGTCAGTCTACTACTACTACTACTACTGTTGGGATATGAAAAATCTTACCAATTATGCTGAAGTACATCAAAGGATAGAAGCATTACACGGTTTCAATGATGTTCAACTTGTTTCTGTAATTGGACAGGAAGAAACATATTAAACACTAAACTTCACTTCCTTCACAGCTGATTGATCAGCGAAGATTGGCTGATGCAGATGCTCAATGAGCTTGTTGTTGAGGTTTAATCTCTCAGGTTTAAAGTAACAGTTCAGCTTAATGAATTAAGAGCAGCAGGTATTGAGAAGTCTACAGAAATAGATTCTATAGTCTTAAGGGGTACGACTGCGACTCAGCATTGTAGAGACAAAAAAGTCTATGCTGCACGTTTGTCATTCCAAGGTCATTTAGTCTAGAGCTACATTGCATGGGCACATAAAGGGGATCAGTTTCCTGTTAAAATGCATGTAAAAAAACCAGCTCACTTTTCTGATATTTCAGCATCTAGTGGAGGTGCAGTCCCTTCTGTTCCTGTGAAGAGTCCACTTTCTCCAGGATTCTGATGAAGATCCTCCTCGTTCCTCCGTGACCGGACCTGTTTTGGAGTAGGAAGTAATTTTTAATACCAGAGTTGTCAGTTTCAGCTGAAATCGCCACAACTCAGATCAACACAGACTGCACAACATCTGCAAAAAGTTGAAAGGCCATTGCCAGTTGTCATAAATTTCATGGAACAAAAGCGGTATCTGCCGACAATAAAACAGGCCACTCACTAACAGTGATATCTTTAGTGTGGCTCAGGAAGTTAAACAGCTTAGTGTCAGGGGTCAAAGGCCAGCTCACCTTCCACACAAGCAGGAATACCAGGGCTAGGAGAGGAATGAACAGTAAGGAGAGAAGGCTTCGCTCCACCACCTCAGTCAGGGCGCTCGGTTCAGGATCTGTCGAAAAAACGAAAAAAAAAACAAAAACCCATCACTTTCTTCCCTCCGATACATTTAAAGTCATAATTCAAGAGAGTTTAATATATTTCTTATGTCTGTTAGTCCTGGATGATTTAGGGACTGTTTTAGTCTAATGTGGCATTCATTGATTTTTATTAACATTTCAACTTTATCATGAGGAAAATTAGTTTGGTTCAGTCCTCCAGACATACAGACACCATAAATTCCCCAGTAAAAATAACACAATAAGACAATATCATAAAACACCACATTGAGGCAAAATAAAACAATAAAATAAAAAAAAAAGTCAATTCGATTGAAGAGTCTTTTGTTTTTCGACAAAAAATGAGTATCTACCCTTCCTTCTCCCTCGTTGAAATATCAAGAATGTATGAATATGCAAATATTTTATATAGTTTAACAGCTGGACACAAGATGTCTCCTAGTTCACCTAAAAGTCAGTTCTCAGTATCTGTGCTCTCCAGGTTTCAAGTTTCCACCTCACACTTATATAAATCTCATATTGGACCACGATTGGCTTCCAAAACACGTCTCAAACTCAGATTTATCTTGAGCAGAGAGAAACTTTCTACCTTCAGCAGATGTGTGTGTCAAACTCATTTTTGAGAGGATGGGGACTTTAAAGTTCTATTTAATTACCATGTTCTTGTAATCCATCAATGCTGACATAAATAGTGTACATGGCACCTGACAGCCACAAAAACTAAGATGAATAATATATTTTAACAATTATTTTCCATTTCTTGAGACATAGTTCTCAGTTTAGCCAGCATATGAGCCATAAAAGACCTCAATTCAGCGTTACTGTAGTGTTATTATTAGTATCATTGTGTACATGTATGTATGTTAGTATACGTACAATACAAATAGTTTTAAAAATCTATTTCATTCTCTCTGTTTAAATCACGACTGGTGCTCGATCACACTTTCAACACTTTGAAAAATGTAGCACTCTGTGAGGGTCTCAACAAGGTGGGTACAGAAAAGCCTTTTTGCAGCATTCAAGATAAGACATGAAATACAGGACATGATGAAGAATTTGCCCCCCAGAGCGTCAATAGTGACAGCAGCCCTGGGAAAATGGGGTGGCTTGCTCTAGAATGTGACAAAATACTGTACCCGCCCAAAGCTGCCACATTGACACACCAGCTGGACTGGTTTAACGACCCAATCACAGGCCTGAGACTTGTTTTCTCAGAAATGCTGAGAATTACAAACTTACGCGGTTTGCAGCCTGTTGCACACTCGGAGCTTTTACTGCTGGACGTGGGTGATTCTGGAAGGGGGGAGAAAAGACAAGAAGAGATGGGTTGGTGAGCTCAGGGTTACAGAGGAGACAAGCAAAAAAAATGAGAGGAGAGATGAAAAAGGGGAAAAAGGGTGGAGTGTTAGTGCCGTATGATGAAAACATTTCATTGTGAGGTGCTAAAGAGTCAACTCAACGCTGCCTTTTTTACCACTCCCCCCCCCACACACACACACATACACATACACACACATAAAAGATCTGATCCGACCACTCTGGCAAAGAAAAGCCAAGCGCTTGGGAAGATTGGAAGATTGCTCTGTAATCAACACGTACACAATCAGGTTTCGGCCTTTTTCTTCCTTTTCACATGCGCTGCCTGGGGACATCTTCCCTCAGTCCTGTGACTCAGCCGTGTCTCAATGGGCCGTCTAAGCACTGAGACCGTTTTGAGTTTTTATCTTGCAAAGTTCTTGTGAAGAAATAATGGTTCCTGGATTAAAAGCTTCTCAAAATGGCCACAAGAGATCTGTCCTAAATACAGTCCGTTCACAATAGTCCAAAGAGAAGTGAGCTTGTGACTGGAATGTTGCTGGTTTGAATCTAGCTCATAAAATGTGTGTGGGAAGTGTGACCTATATCGTCAATTGCTGCTAATGTTTTCTACAATAAAACACTTAATAACGCTTAAAGAGTTGGTTAACCTTAATCATAAAAGCACATGTGTTCTCATTCATTTCATCACTGGCAGCGTAAGGCGATGTAGATAGTTTGGATTTATTTGTTGAGGTTTTGAGATATCCACATCTGAGATTTCACATCTGCCACCCCAATATGGTGGTAGTGTGGAGACATATGGTGATGCTCAAAGCATTGGAAATTACTTTTGGACAACTCAACAGTCACATGTTTCACCAGAAACAATTTTGATCTACAGACTTTGATGAAAACAGTTTTTATTGAAGCTAAGAAGAAAACAGACAGAAAAACAGTCCCTAAAAACCTGTTGACAGTGAGGTGTTGATACATATCTCAAAACTCACTGCATGACTAGACTAGACCTAAGGGATACAATACGTGGTTTTGTGAACCCTTTGCAAGTTTTACTTTTCCACAGTAAGCAAAGTAAAAAATCCCAACAAATCCCACATAGAATGTTGTCAGTTTGTGATCTTATCTTTCTGCTGACTGAATCATAGACGAGCTTCATTCCAAAGCGATCTATCACCGAACTCACAGTTAAATATGACTAATGTACTTAGCCTTCCTGGCATCTGTATTTTAACCAGTGACAGTTGTCAGTACATAGTCTTTGTGGATTGTTGATGTTCTGGGCAGTGAGATTATTCTTTATAAGAAAAAACGCATAAGTTCAATAACTCCACCCCATCCAATTTATCAACACCCTGCAGATATACTGTACTTTGTTTGCCAAATAAAATGTTGGTGTTGAGTCTTGACCCTTCCAATGCCACATGAAGAGACAAGTCCAAACTCAGAATGTGAAATCCAAACAGTCTTCAAAACATCAGCTTCGTCCAGAGAAAGCTGGAGCGATTCTTAGATCTTTTGCCAGTCTTATCATTTAGTTGTAATATCCCTTGGCTTAAAGCATCACCCACCAGATCGGATGAGTTCTCAGCGTGCAGTTCATCGTGGGGATGTTACAATCGCTGTACATCTGGTTAACACCTGAGATATGTCACATTCAAACAGCTTAGGGAGATTTTCTCCATGAGAGGCAGAGACTGTGTCTTATTTTTGTGTTAACTATACGTGTTTTTGCCCATAAGATTGTCTCAGCCAATGCTGTCACGTCAGGGAAGATTCACATCATATATGGCCCCTAGCTCAAAGAAATCAAACATATATCTATACAGAGGACCAACCATTTATAAATCACAACTGACTGGTTTTATAGTAAAGATGGAAAACTTGATAAAAGTACTGCAAAACATCAGTGAAATATTTAGGCAGGGGAAAATCATCCACAGCTGATTCTAAAAAAGGCCACAGGTTTAATTCCCTGTTTCATCTACAGTTTAGGGTTGCAAGGTAATATAGGAAAAAATACATTTTCATTATCCATTATTTTCACATTCAAAAAAACTAAAATGAAATGTGGAAAATTGGTTGCTTTGTCAAAGCAACAGTCCAAAACCCAGAGATGCTCATTTTACACAGAAAAAGCAGCAGAAAAGGCAACATATCCTCACATTTGAGAAGCAGGAACCAGTTTACTGTTGAGACTTATAGACTAATCAATGGATAGACTAAATGTTCCAGTAAGAATGTATATACATATATAGATTATTTGAGTTTCCCAGTTATTTCCAAAATATAAAAAATTATGACCAAATGGTAGAAAGAGCTCATAGTAATATTTTATTAATGATAAATTATTAATAATCATTGATTTCATACCCATATGCACACAAAGCCATACACAAACCTAGTGTAGTAGTGCTAATTTCATCTCACTCCTCAAACTGTAGGTATTTGTGTTTGTTATGTATTGTCAATTAACCACCACTGACATAATATGCACAATGAACATGTCACATATTATACATTTTTACCTTTTAAATATTCTTCTGTTGTTACTGTGTATGGTGTGGTGGGACAGGGAGGAGGATCACAGTCATCTGAATCTTCTCTATTCTGTGCAGCTATAAGGAAGTCTCTGATGAAGTCAAAGTATCGCGCTGTCTGCCACCTCTCTTCCCTGTAGTGGCACTCGAAATCATACATGATCGGCTCCTGCAAAGACACAAAACACAGTTTAAAAGAACTGTTTATCTTGTCTTTGAGCAGTTCATTTCAAGGGTGTAGATGAACAGATTGCCTTGCCTTTAAAGCTGAAATCCATGACAAGCAACACTTCTTTTGGACAGCTAATGAGTTAAAAATAAAATGTATGGGTAGCTGGTCAGATAAATAACCTTGCGATAAAAATGCGAGCCATGTGTGCATTGTGCATTTGTCGGTCGTGCTAGCTTCATAAAATTGTCTTTATACTTGCCTTGTATTGAATCCATTTTACACTACTTCAATAATGTGAGTCCCCGAAGCTGTAACATTATCTAACAACTCTGGATTATCTTTTTTGGGTAATTTGAACATAATTTAAATTTCCTCTGTACATTTCTGCCTGTAAAGAATGAGAATTTATGGATTTCAGCTTTAAATAGTTTAATCAAGGCTACAAAACTGTAAAGTTTTCCAACACTTATTTATTATTTATTAATACATCATACATACATCATACTTCAATATGGACTTACCACAGACCCTAAGTTGAACCGCAGTTCTTGGATCATTTGGACGAATATGCTAATATCTTTTCTGTTGGATGAAATGTTGCCAAACTTATGTGCTAAATCCTTTAAACTCTCCTCCAGGTAGAAGACATTTAATTTTACCCAACACATCCCACCCTAGAAGAAAAAGAGCAGAGATATGGCATAAAGTGAGCAATAACAAGTACTGCATGATAATTAAATGCATAGCAAACAAATCAGATTTACCAGCAAGAGAGCAACAAGAGTGTACATCCACCCAAGTTTAATAATGACCACAGTCAGATGTCACTTTCACAGCTGCACTTGGCAATTGACACAATATTTACACTGTAACTAAGGTCAATGGGTTTCTTCCTGTTGGGAGTGTATAAAGTTTCTGTGAGTATGAGTTATGGTTGCTACTGACAATTAAAAGGATGGATAAAAGGCTTTATTCTTCCCTCCAAGTTACTGTTGGCGGATGCTGCAATATCTTACCTCTTCTTTTGGAACGAAACGTACAGGAATTTTGTAATCTTTAGGAATATTTTGTCTCTGTAAAAAGAAAAAGGACAAAAATATAAAATTTCAGAGAAATTGCATCCAGATCTTAAAAAGTAGTCATAAAGCACATAAACTTGAATTTGAAATTCCATATACCTTATCAATATAGCTATAATTGTATATATATGTATTGTATATAATTATGTGGAAAAAACTCATCAACATCAATATGGGGAAAAAATGCTTTAATTTGGTGAGTTTATTCTCTTTCTGTATCTACCTGCATGTTTTACTTTTTGGTCCTATCATTGCATTAATTTTGTCTCCTTTTCTCTCATCTTTCTTCCTCCCGACTGGTAACCAGGTCTCACTTGAAAAATGCTCTATTTGAGATCATTTTAAGTGCTGTTGTATTTTCTTGCTTTTATGTTTATACTTTGCCAATTGATGGGAATACATTTAATGATAGTGCCACATAAAGCAGGAACATATTGGTCCATGTTGTGCTTTCTATATTAAATAAACACTATCTATTGTACATAAGATATTCAATGAGAATTTAAAATTGTTGTATTAGTTAAAATACATTGTTGCCCTTACCAAAATAATGAGTCTCGAGATGTCATCTGTCACTGGGTTGACGTCAAATTTACTTGAATGTACCCCAAGCGTGATGAACAGCAGTAAATGGACACAAATGCGTATCCAAATCTGCAAGTCAAAAGAAGGAAACACAAGACGTTTTGACAATTAATCACATATTCTATACAATAAATAATAATAAAAACAACATATGAAATAAGAGTATTTTTCAGTCTATAGATATTAATAAACTGACTGTAACCAGCATGCACCACAATGATGCAGTAAATCACGGAAAGAACATAAAGTGGCAGATTTACAGGTGACACTGCAGCTCACCAACAGGTCTGTCAAAACTCTTTGAGCTAAAACAGCCTAGAGTCGTAAGTGTGACCACACCTTCCCAAACTATTGACTTCATTTACAGACTGACATTATATGGACAAAGCAACCCTTTCCTTTATGAAAGTCAGCATTTGATTTAAAGTGATTTTACAGCATTTTAGTGGTGTGGCTGGCAGTAAAAAACGTTGACTGGCTCATTGTTTCAGCAATGCAAACAGTAGGCAAGTTAATTATTTGTATTGTCTTGGTTTTGTACACACCCTCAGATCCAGGTCAAGTCTGTCATGAATTACTATAGTCTTAAGTCTGTGCAAAGGTATGATTGGACCTAATGGAACCAATTAGAGGACACAGAAAAGAATCTGAGAATCCTTAGTCACTCAAATAAAATCAAACAATGTATTAATAGGCACCCTTGCTGATCAAGGAGATTCTTCTGGGCTAGAGGCAATTAAATATGTGGGTATTTCAAATACAAATATATGTTTGGTGCTCTCTTGAACTGCATTGATGACACAGGAAATGCCAGTGTTCCAAGATAGAAACATTAGACTCCTGTAATGCAGAAGCCAACCAATGGGAGTCTTGAATGTACCAGTTAAGAGACAATAGGCCTTTATAATGGCTAACATTTTGACCTGTCATAGCAGAATAAGCAAAGTGTTACTAATAACATTAACAATGGCTTCATTCCATTCATGTGCCTCAGTAAGCCCTGCCAGTGCGACAGTGAGCCAGCATGCACAATAAAAGGTCACTGAAACTGAAGCATCTAAGTGGCATTCAGCCATCACTCATTTTATTATTCACACCTGTGTTTTTCCTACTGTGACATGTCAAAATGTCTTCTGGGTGAAGAGCTGGATAACAAAGAGTGCTAACTGCTTTTCTGGACTTAAATGATTTTTATTTTGTGCGATCCTTTCGGGGGTAGGTAGTCAGATTTCTTTTGTGGTATACGTTTGTTTGGATAAAGTAGTCCTGGGTCACATTTCTATGCATCTAAGGGCCACTAGAGAAAGCAAGTAAGTTAGTGAATCAATAAAAATTAAAATTAAATACTAAAGTAAACAGAGACTAATTTCATACAGATGATAAAACCTGCCTGAAACTGACAAACTATCTGCTTTTAACTAGTCAGACCAGCATTTTCCACACCATCAGTTAGCTGTCCTCAGGCCCTGTCATGCAGTTGGCTCTAAGCCACCAATTAGAGCTATGAGAAAGGTAGGCTAACTGTCATGTTGGAACAGTTATTGTCACATGCAGGTACGTGAGCTATCAAATATCATCACATTTGTTTACACAGGGTGGAGCTGAGATGCAAAATAGCCTTGAGTCTGTCGAAAGCATTGCTCAGTGCCAGAAGATGTTGAAATGTGTCTACAACTCATCAAACATGCATCATAGTAAGGTTCACATTGAAAATAGCAACATGGCACCTGTTCTGTCATCTGTTTTCTTGTTGTTTCTACAGTTAGAAGTTTGAGCTTCACTGTGCAGAATGATGTGTGTGCAGAGTTTGACACTAGAAGGATGTTTTCACATTCATCTGCTGAAAGTAGAAAACTTCTCTGTGCTAACTGAAAATCTGATTTTAAGAGCCGGGGCCTAAAAGCATGATTTGTGACATCACAAATAGTTTGGAAGTCATGCCTGGTCCAGTATGCAACTTATACAAGTGTGGCGTAGAAACTTGAAGCCACCAGTGCACATTGACTCATAATGGACTACACTTAAATAGGAGACATCTTGTGTGGGAGCTTGCTCTGAGTTTATACAGCATGTGCATGAGGTCAAAATTGTCACATGAGAACATGATTCCTTGAGCCTCCAGCTATATTCCACAGACTGACAGTTGTTGATGTAAATGCACCAACAAATGTAGCTATGCGCAAACAAAAAGCATTGAAGAAAATTAGTAAACAGATAAAATCAATTCACAGAATAAAACCGGCTTTGCAAATGTTCTGTTGTTAAGGAAGAAAAGGCACTCACCATGTTTGTTATACCTAAAGGATACAGGCAACGCCTTTTTCTAAGGAACAGTAAATGTAAACACACTTTTGTTTGTTTGGACGGAAAACTTCACGAGTTATCTTTAAGATGCCTTTAGGAAATGGGGAACTACATGGTGTTGAACACAGTTCTTTCTCATGGTGACAGGCCTGTGATCTGCCTCTATCTTTAGCTAGTTTACAGCGTCATGGAGCTACATTGACCAACATATAGTTGCCATTCAATCTGGCTGACCTCCTACGACTTCTCTGTGCCAGTCTGACCATATTATGCAATAGACCCACAAGTCTCCTCTTAATAGAGATTAGGGCCAGTCAGAGCCCAACCCAAAACAATTCACCAAGCTTGAAAGTGAACCTCTTCTTTAACAAGTAAAGCTTTTGAGTGTTTCACAAATGGGACTCAGTGAGAGGGATAAAAAGATCATAGTGAGCTTACTCATGTCTAATCTTCAGGCACTTCAACCAGTAAAACAGGATTTTGTTCTATAGTTTATTTAAGCAAATGTTTGATGACTCTTGCTTGCTCATTTGCAGCAATTTGATTCTCATTCACAGTTGCACACATTCATACTTTTGTCATCCGCCACCCACGTTCCTCTTGTTACTATATATTTGTCAGACAGGGCCACAACAGGAAGAGAATGGAACAATGATCCATCAACAGCAGGAAAGGCCAAAGGAAAAGCACCATGTAAAGGGCAGATGGGATGTAATTCAATTCCGTCTCGCTTCTACTGCTCACCAAAAGTAATCGTTTTCATATGGCAGACAGGGATGATAAGCAAGCAATGTTTTAGGAGAGATTAGCAAAAGACAAGTTATGTCTCAACCTCTGCCTGTCATGAAGCACATTTGTACAGGATAACAACAGTGAATGAAATCAGTCCTTATTAATCTTAAGGTATTTTGCAAGTAGTCATGTTACAAGTTGCTCAGCAAAGCAAAAGTTGACATTTGCCCCCAAAACTCTTTCACAAATCTCTATAGATTCCTCTAAATTCTTTACTTTTAAAGGAAATTATGCACATGATGCAAATATCAAAATAAACAACGGGATCTTTGTCTTCCTCAAAACACGTGGGCTGAGTTTACAGACTTGGCAAAATTCAGTTTCGGTGTAATATCAACTGCTGCAATTACTCGCTTTAAGCAATATTATCTCTACCCTGAACAAATGCCTCTTCACCACTTCTGCAGAAACTGTGCTATATCAAAATGAACTAAAGGGAAGATTGTTACAGATACATGGAAGCCTTATGGGCTAAATTAATCCATGTGGTTCTCCATGTGATCTGACACTTTTAGACACATATCTTAGACACCAGCTCTGAATTAAGGGAAGATGCAGGTTTAAAAAGGCCATTAGATTGTAAATTTACATTATTTGTATAGACACGTTCACTGCATGTGGTTTCTATGAGTGGGAATTTCGCTGACACTACCCTGTTTCATCCCTGCAAAGTTTGTTTAAAAGATGAGTCAGTAAGCAGTGGCCATAAATGTCACAAACATCAAACAGCAAAGGAAATATCCTTTCTAGACGATCAGTGAAAAGACTAATTAAAAAGACGGAATCTCTTGAAGAAAGGCTCCTGTCATTTTGACATACAGTCAAAAACAGCAATGATGAGGTGTCGCTCAGAAAGCCTGGTCCATGTTGTGAGCATTGCCACTACCAAACTGAATCCACCTACAGTGTGTGCTTACTATGACATTACATGTCTTTGCCAATTAATTTTAGCTTGAAGAAAAATGTTCAACAACACTATATGCAAAAATTTACAAAAAATCAAGGATGTTTCGATCTACATTACATGTGCATTAAGTATGTAGAATAAAGCCAGAAAAGGGTGTTCTGAACACATCTGCACCCCGCATGCTTAAAGCAGAGCAGCTGGGACTGGCTAGCTGAGCTCATAGTTGCCTTTCACTGTCATTTGCTGTTCTTTGAATTCTTTGAAAACTTATGGTCATCCCTGTGGCTTTTTTGTGAGAGTAAGTACGGCCAAGTAAACACAGCAGTATACACAGCAAGATGTGATGTGTGAGTGATGACAGCAATATTAGCAGCCATTCCTTATGTCTTTATGAGACAGATTCACAGCCCATGAAACAAGCCAGCGGAAAGCTACTCATGTTAGAAGAGCCGCAAGTTCTGATAGCAAGCTGGAGGTTCAAATCTCACTGGAGCTCTTGGTGCTGACAAGTTGTGAAGTTGTTTTCTGAAACACAGATTTTCTTAAAGTTATGGGTAGACGGGCCTTGGGGAATGGAGCAACTGATTAGATTTTGATGGTGGTCCAGATCTGGCATTTACTTCTAAACTTTACTTGTGTACAGGTTCGCACTCTCCCAGGGCCTTCTAGTTTTCATTGCTATGAAAGGCCTGACTTAAAATGTATGACAAAAAATTTTATGAACAGTCCTTTTGTGGGTGCCCAAGGAGTGCATAATTTAATATTTTTTCTACATTGTTTAATTTAACCATTAAAACATGATGTAACATTTTCTTTTATTGACCATGTCAGTAACATTTGATTATGTATTTAATTATGAGTAAAGTTTATAGCCAAAACATTACTGTCTAATGTCTACCACCAAAGTATAGTTAATTGTTTTTTTTCTCCAACGCTGATCTGTCCTCCAGGTTTCATGGAAATCCATTCATGTTTGATAGACAGATAAACTGAGGGCAAAAACCATTACCTCTCTAGTAGATTTAACAATGTGCATTCATTGTACTCCTCTAGAAATACTTTGTCC